CGAGGACGTGGAATCCCCAGCGCTGAGTCAGGACTAACTGCGATGCAGCGGGATGGGAATCCCTCGAGGAGCTGCGGCCAACACCGGGCTTCCAGCTGCTCCAGCCTTCGACCCACCAGCGCCGGGCGCCCTGCCTTGCCCTCCGCCTCGGAGGAAAGCACCGCGCTGGAGCAGGACTTCGTTCCTCAGTACTCCGATGGAAACCCTCCTCGTCTCCTGCCCTCGGGGCTCTTGGACCGTGCCACCGGCATTTCGCTACTGCCGAGGGACTCGGAGTAAGTCACCCTTGGGGGCTGAGCTGCAGCCCACTGGAATAACGCAGCTCAGCAGGGCAGAGATGAGACGTGGCGATAACTGAGCACTGGAAAGGGGAGTTATGGTCCCTTGTGCAGCCTCCTGTGGAGGACTGCAAGGCCGGGCTTAACAAAGCCACGAGGGGATTGCCAGGATTAGTCCTGGCTCAGTGCAGAGGTGCGAGCGAGGGGTCCCCTCCGCTGCATTTCAGCCGTTTGCTTCTCTTTGTCCCTGGCTGAACTGACCCAGGGCAATGTCAGATCATTGAACCACGTCGAGCCCGAAACCGGGGTGAGCCGGCTGCAAGGCTGGGACCCCCAGGCGGGAGGCTGGGACCCCCAGGCGGGAGGCTGCAGAGCCAGGCAGGTGCGAGAGCCGGCCAGGGACTGGGGAGCACTGGAGCAGCGAGGAGCAGCGAGAAGGCAAGCAGGATGGGAATCCCTCGAGGAGCTGCGGCCAACACCGAGCTTCCAGCTGCTCCAGCCTTCGACCCACCAGCACCGGGCGCCCTGCCTTGCCCTCCGCCTCGGAGGAAAGCACCGCGCTGCCCTCAGGACCAGCCCCCTTCATCCAGCCTGCCGTGGGTGAACAACTTGTCATCGCGGCAGGAACAGCCCGGCACGTGTCCGCGGGCAGCAAGGGGAGGTTAAAGTCGCCTTTTGTGCCCGGTTATGTCAGCCTTCCTCGCACAGGGGAAGTGTGGGGGCACTTCCCCAGAACACGTGTTTCAGAGCGCTTTTAACAGCTCCTCGCTGGGGGGGGAAATATTCCTCTTTTGAACCACAAACTATTCCTGGCAACTACTCAGCTAAAAAAAGAGCTATAAAAAGGTCAAAGCCATTCAGGAAGATCCTGGCTCTGTGTCATCATTGCTACAGGCTGGAAAATGCCTGAGAGCATCACCCTTGTTGACTTCCCCAAGTGACATCTGCAAAGCTTAAAAGAACGCCCGCCTGCAGCCAGCAGAGTGCCCCAAGGCTCTCGGCCGACTGAGCACCTCTTCGCTCGCCGCTGTGTCCGGTCGGGCCTGGGGACAGACCTGGGGCTGGGGGGGACACGGGTGGGTTGACCCAAAAAGCTTCGCCCGGGCCGCGCCGGCGGCAAAGCCCATCGCAGACAGGCTACGTCCCGCTCACGTGCAGCCGTGCCGTGGCTCACGGAGGCTGGTTTCGGTGGGCTGCTGGCTCGTGTGGCTGCCTGCTGTTGTGCAAACAGGGGGTGAAGCGCGGGCAAGGGTAAGCGGCGTCAGGAGATGATGGTCTGGGACATGCAACACCACCTTTCTCCTCCAAATGAGACTAGGAAAGGACTCTGGTGACAGAGAATTGTATAAAATAACTTCTTGGGTTTCTTTCTTTACAAAACATCTCTCACACATGGTATAAAAACAGGTAGTTTAGAAATAAATTTAACGCTGGCTGTACCAGTGACTTCAGGGGCATCCCACATCCAACGTATGTCTCAGCAGTAAACGCCTTTCTCAAAACAAAATCGTGACAAACGCACACAAGTGAATCCTCTGTGGGAAATACTTAAATAACCAAAAAAAAACCCCCAACCAAACCAGACCAACACAGTTTAAAACAAAGCCAGACAGTTTTCTAAAAAGAGGGAGCTGGGTTCTTCCCCAGAAAAAATTACCCTGGCCGCATGTTTCTCTTCTGATAAAATATTGACCCTTGCTGAGTGCTGGAAAATCAGCGGCCAGCACCCAGGGAGATCCCAGGAGCTGCACCGGCCACCAGCGCAGGGATGCTGCCGCTCCCAGGGATGCTGCCGCTCCCAGCACCCCATCCTGGAGGCAGCGTCGCAGCCGCACGCAGAGCAGGACCCACCGCAGCTGCGGCAGCACGCTTTACCTCCGACCCATCGCTCATCTCTAACGCTGCATTTCAAGTTAGGTTTGGAAAGATTAATAAATTAATGAAGCCACGGAAGAAAAAAATCAAAACAAAAACCACCCGAAAAGTTCAGTCCGTGTTCTCAGTACAGGAGGAAGCGCTCGCGGACCTTCTCCTCGATGGAGTGCAGCTTGGCAGCTCGCAGCGCGTCCAGCAGCTCCTTGGTGACCTCGTAGTGCCCCTCTTTGAGGTGGGTGAGGAAAGCCCTGAACTTCTCCTGGATGGCTGCCTTGGTCCCCAGCGCCTGCTTCCTCGGCGAGCGCTCCAGGATTTGCTGCAGGCGCTTCAGCTTTCTGATGGGGATGTTCTGGTACGCCACAAAGTCTATCATGGCTTGCTCACAGTCGTCGTCTCCTAGAGCTGGTGGGAGAAAACCACCCGGAGGTTAAAGGGAAGGTGACCGTGGGACACCAGGAGAGCAGGTCACAGACCTACCGAGCCTCTCCATGGGCCGTCTGCCCCGAGCGGTGGGGGA